TAATAAAAGGATTTGATATAAACAGTTAGTTAAACTACTCTGATTTACTAACAAATATTCAAATCAAATATATGTAAAAGGTAAAACTTATACAATGAGATATTACACCTGCTCGCCGAGACAATACCGTCGTCGGTTCGCAGTCACGAGAAACACTAATTATGCAATAGCCTCACCGAAAGATAAGCTTGGAGTCTATCGCACAGTCAATCCGCGATCCGTCTCCCCACGTGTTTAGGTGATATCTGACCCTCCCTGAGGCACTCGCGTTCGCTGTTTTTCTTGTCGATTCGTTTTCAGTACGACATCACTCCTCTCCCCAGAGTAATCGTCCCGATTACTCCAACAAGAGCAGTAGATCCCGTGGCGACCATGCTTTTAGGGCCAAGAACCTGCAAGCAAGTTCTCTTTCCTAGGACATTTGACCCCTGCCCCGCAGAGTGGTGCATGGCGCTACTATGGAACTCATCCACTCCTGTCAGACTCGCTCTGGGAAGCCTTCGCAGTAAAATCACTCTTCCACGGCTGTATTTCCTTAACCGTTCATCTTCTCTCAAGAGGGCCCTGGCCCAGGCCCGCTCCCTGAGAGTAGATCCTTCCACCTGACGTGGGAAATTATCTCCATCGGACGAGGTATGCTACACAGCCGACGGTCCAGATCCCGCACCATGACCGGCAGGAAGTCATATATAACCACTTCATCGTATGTTGTATCGTCCTGGAGGTCGCCGAAGAAGACTGCACTGAAGCACCTCCTTACATGGCTCCGGCGATGCGGTACCTGCTGAATTGGGCCTTCGGCAGAACCAATGGACAGGAGTCCAGTTCCTCCATCTCAATAACAGATTTCTGGATTCTGAAAGAAGCAGAAACAAGTCAGAATCTTGATCTTTACATAGACATGCGAGTTGGGGACCAGTCACGGAAAACTTTGGACTCTGAACATATCCAGCTGTATCCTTGGCAAAGGGAGGGCCAGATGCACCATCAGTGTCCACGTGACCCGTCGGCTGGACCTCCAACTGCATGACATCGTAGAACAGGTGCAAATTCCCCTCTTTAGGGGAAAATAACAATGTCATCCCTTCCATGACAATGGCATAAAAAATATTTAGTTGGGTATTAGCTGACATGAGGTCACTTGGCAATTTCCCTACTATAGCCTCTCTTAGTCTTGCCATAACCAGCTCCTGACTTCTTTAATCCCATGTACCATTTCCCTATAATTTCGTGTCTCCAAGCTTCTTCCAATTTTTTTAAAGAATCCTCCATTCTCTTCTGGGCAGATTCTAATATACTAATACACTATCAATCAAAATTAAGGAAACCTCACTCATATGATAGGCCTGGTTTACTGTCACTCCTGTGGACACTAGTAGTGCATGTAGCTGGTCAAATCGATTATTTATTTGTAACAAACCCCTGGCTAAGTTTGCCACATCCCCGGCCCTGACATTCCCTCCATAATAGAGTGCCCAGATCTGTCTTTGTCCTGCATAATTCATGAAAAATCCCTTACCAAAGTCAGTCTGTCCTGAATGGTCTATTGCCTCCTGTAAAACATAATGTGCCCTCTGCAGTCCTACAGAAACCATCTGCCAGGAGGTCACTGCCCTCACGTCCTGGACTCCTGCAGAATTGCAGTCCCCATCCCTGCTAATTCCTCCTAGCAGCAAGGCTTCCCCCTTGTTCCGAACCAACTTTATGCCAGTTGAACCAGCCTGGAATCCTTCCCTGTGACACTTCAAAAGTAACTCCAATATAGGATAACTACCCCATACCAGGTGCAATTGAAACTCACAGACTCCAGAATTCCCTATCTCTGCTAAATTCTCCTAACAGCAAGGCTTCCCCTTGGTTTCAAACGAGCTTTATGCCAGTCAAACCAATCTGGAACCCTTCCCTGTGACACTTCAAAAGTAACTCCAATACGGGGTAACTGCCCCATACCAGGTATAATTGAAACTCACAGACTCCCTGCTCGATCTCCGAACATCCAGGTCCCTCTGGTTTACAGCTGACTTTATGTTAGCTAAAGCCACCCACCAATCCTACAACCTTTAATTTCTTTATATCCGTCCCTTAGAAAGTAAATCATAAGTGCAGGTACCTTCCCTCCCACACCTATCCTTTTTCCTTCCCCGCGTACTCTTATGAGCATTCAGGTCTCCCTGATTTCCCACTGACTTTGAGCCAGTTGCGTCATCCATCTCATCTTCCATGATATCCTCATGTACAGGATACGCCCTATCTATGTTGTGAGCCTGCCCCGGCCGAAGGCATGCTTCCTTCTTTACCCTGTCAACATGAACCTTTGACACTTTCTTATCAGCTAACCTTTGAACTTTCACCACCACCTCACTGACCTTTTCGACAACTCGATAGGGGCCAGTGTATAGTGGCTGCACTTTCTTACTCAATCCCAGCTTAACTATAGCCTTAATATATATCCTATCTCCCACCGAAATAGGAGAAGGTCTTGCCCCAAGCCTGTCTGCCG